CAGCATTGGCCACCTCGCCGTCGGGACATCTTCAACCCCCACACGCTGGGTCTCTAAAGCAGAGACATACTCTCGAGATAGCAAAGCCTCCTCCCGGCCGAGGATCCAGGGATGGGCCAGATGTAGCGCAAGCTAGTGGGCGATTCTCTCCGACTGTAGCTCCGATCGGACATCGCCGTGCTTCACTAAACCTAGCACGGAGGACAACTCGATCCATGCAGTCTGACGCACCTCGAGATGAAATTTTACCCGATGAGGATGCTATTCGCTGGGCTGAGGCCTATCGCCAGAAGCGGGCTAGTAAACGGAAGCGAAAGGAGGAGGAAGATGATGATCGCGTCTTGGTCGGCACCAAAGTTGACGAGAGCCACGCCAATTGGGTCACGGCTTATAACATGCTGACCGGGATCCGAGTGTCTGTCTCGAGAACAAACGCTAAGCTCGACCGAGAACTCACGGATGCCGACTTTGAAGCAAAGCAAAAGTCGACGTTCGACATGTAAGCTGATAGGCAACACTTCTCCTTGAACACAAAACGAAAGTAGTACTGATCTTCTCCATAGCACCGGCAACGAACTGGTCCCTTCTGCCAAATATGATTTCAAGTTTAAGGACTATGCTCCTTGGGTGTTCCGACATTTGCGTGCCCTGTTCCGTCTCGACCCCGCCGACTACCTTATGTCCTTGACTGGGAAATATATACTTTCCGAGCTCGGCTCTCCTGGCAAGAGCGGCAGTTTCTTTTACTTTTCCAGAGATTACAAATATATCATCAAGACGATTCATCATTCTGAGCATAAATTCCTGAGGAAAATTCTCAGGGACTACTTCAACCACATTCAAAACAACCCCAACACACTTCTTTCTCAGTTTTATGGCCTTCATCGGGTCAAGATGCCATATGGCAAGAAGATCCACTTTGTTGTCATGAATAACCTATTTCCACCTCACCGAGATATCCACACCACTTTCGACCTGAAGGGCTCAACTATTGGCAGAGACTACAGGGAGGACGACTTGGAAAAGAATCCTCGAGCAACTTTGAAGGATCTGAACTGGTTGAGACGACAACAGCACCTGGAGTTGGGTATCAAGAAGAAGCGGCTTTTCTTGGAGCAACTCCAGAAGGACGTTGTTCTACTCAAAAGACTGCAAATTATGGATTATTCACTACTTATTGGTATTCACGACATATCACGCGGAAATGAGGAGAATTTACGTGACAAGACTCTACAGGTCTTTAATCCCGGCGGCGAGAAGACGACAGATGATGACCCGCCCTCAGTGCTTATGAGGACGCCGTCTAAGATGGAGAATGTCCGAAAAGCTCGAGAGCTAAGAGAAAAGATTCGTGCAGAGCGGCCAATTCCCATCGGTCAGGCGTTAGACAAGATGCCTGATGAGTTGAGAGACTTCCATACCCGGCCTGGGTTTGTTTTCAACCAGGATGATGGAGGCTTTCGAGCGACGCACGAAAACAATCAACCTGCAGATGAGATTTACTATTTGGGAGTAATTGACTGTCTTACACACGTAAGTATTGGGCAACACTATTCTGTCATGACCGAGACACTAACATGTTTATGTGTTTAGTATGGAATGATCAAAAAGATTGAACATTTCTGGAAAGGCTTGTCACATGACCGGTCACAAATCTCGGCTTTGCCGCCAGAGCAATATGGTGACCGATTTTACAATTTCGTCGAGGGGATTACCATGTCAGCAGAGGAAGCTCGAAAGGAAGCTTTGCGGAGGGAACAGGAAGCGAACGAAGGGAGGGTGTCCGCCGACAAATCAGCAAAACGACACTCAGCACAGAGGTATAGCCATGGGGTTCCTCCAATGCCTGATCATCTCCCACCAGCCCCGCCAACGAGTGGTTCGTCAGCAGAAGTCCGGGAAACCATGCAGAAGGCATCAAAAGAAGCTAAACGGACCGAATCGAGTGGTGTATTAGAAGCAGATATACCAGACCGCGTTCTAACGACCGCCAGCTCTCCTGACAAGCGTGAGTCGTTTCCGCATGAACCGATCCTGCCAGTAGTTGAGGAAGCGGCTGAGGGTAGCCGTAATGACGGAGGGTCAGTCTGGGATAGGCCGAAAACCCTCAGAAACGGTAATACTATCCCTCCACCGCCAACCGGTCCTCCACCGCCGACGCCCCCTAAAGAACGCCCTCCGCCGCCACCACTAAAGTCCGATGGCCACGAGCCGGATGGCCAAGTCTTGCGACCGAGGCTTAGCAAGGAAAGCTTGAATAAAAACCTGCCCCCACTGCCCAAGGATGAGGAGACACAGGACACTGGCGTGCGCATGGTTTAGGTCACGGCGACGTTGCAATTCTGCTGCTTTCCAATAAGCTTGGCCCGGGAATGACTTTCATTTATTTTCATTGCGTCAAGATTATCTTCTTGTTTACTTTATCCCCCCTTGGTATTTGTATTTTATGGCACAGCATGGCGCAGCATCATCATATTTTGACAACTGAAGCGAGCGAAATGGAAATTTTCAAAGAGGGTTTAGTCGACGTCGACACGAGATCGAGCGCAGGGTCAACAAAGCATTTGCATTCATGCAACTGAACTTCGGTGCCTGTCGACACCATTAACTGATATCAATATGAGGTTTTGTGAAACACGCGAGAGCATTCTGTAGGGGGGACGCTGTTTAATGCTGGTGAAGCATGGGGAGATTGGGTTTCAAGGAATGGCAGTAGAAGTAACCACGAGATGAGAATATGCTGAACCCGTTCAGCTCCTTGTATTTTCTTTCTTTCTTTTTGTCTTTTTTTCCCTTCTCTTTTGTTCTTTGTCTTGTTTCTGGCACAAAAAGACATGGATGATACCACTGACGCATCGGATGCTTGTCGCAATATATATGTTGCTCATTTGTCGCGTTTCCTTTGTCTTGAAGTTTTTTGGTAGTTACAGTATACAACTTGGTTGCATATCAGTCTTTTTATTTGCTTAATTGGGCATTCGAGCTCTTTTCCGAAGGACTCGAAACCTGCAGAGTGGCATTGGTGCTTAATGGAGCATGTAGAATGTGATGTAGGAGGAAGGCAAAGCTGCCACGGCGCCGCCGCACAGGAGACTTGCCCCACATTAGACAACCACATGCAGGGTTATTGAAGACAGCTCTCATTTTCAACATCCCGCCTCCGCGTCAAGCATTGCAAGCAGCCTTGAATGAATGTTCACTCTTCCCATGAAGGGGCCCAGCCGGATGTCGCGGCGAAACATTCCACTGAGCAATTGAAAGATATGCTGCACCGAGATACGTTGCACCTATAGTCTCGACAGTCTGTCCAGCAGATATCGCGACTTTGTGACCATGCCACTCCGAAATAAAGACTTTCAGACGAAAGAACCCTTCCGGCACGACGATAACGTGACACTCCACCACGCCGAAGGACCCTTCAGCTTTCTGAATCCAACAAGGGCCCATTTCCATCACGCAGGACTCTCTCCACCCCAGGAGAGCAATGGCAACAACACACCTCTTGGACAACCACCAAAACAAGTCGATTCCACTGTCCCTGCCGCGTATGTCAAGTTTCTGTGGCGATCGCGAGACAACCGTAAGGGACGGCATCCTCTGCTCGTTCAGCCAGCGTCTCCGGGTGAAGATGCGCCTTTTGTGACACCAAGACGGACGTCGGATCCTAGGGAAGTTGTGAAGAATGTGGTCAGGACGTTTACGTATTTCCCTGTATGGGATATTTCGTGGTTGGTTGGTTTTATATTCACTTGGGGGAGTGTAGTCTGGGTTATCAACGTATGTTTATCTATTTGTCGACCTGTACACTCGGCATCTGGTCATGGCGGTTGTGCGACTTTGAGTAGAGAGGGTCGACTGATATATATTCTAGGGCTTCTTTGCGTGGCTTCCACTGGTAGCACCTGAGACAGAGTTTCCCGGGGAGTCGTACTACGGCGGCGGGATAACTGCCTTCATCGGCGCCATTCTCTTTTTTGAAGTCGGCTCCATCTTGCTCATTTTCGAAGCTATGAATGCTAATAATACAGGCTGTTTTGGCTGGGCTCTCGAGCAATTGCTCCAGGATGGCAACGGCAAACCCAAGATACAAGTAGTTGCGGCTCGCAGCCATTGCCGACACCACCATCAGAATAAGCGTAACCTAGTGGGCAAGCCAAAGATACCCCCTTCCACGATACTCTCCCAGACATCTCAGAGTGTTGAACGCGTGAAACATTGGCAATGGTTTCCCTCGTGGTACGACCTGCGTACTCACTACCTCCACGAATTGGGTTTCCTCGCCGGCTCGGCCCAGCTCTTTGGTGCCACCGTGTTCGGCATCTCTGGCATTACCGCACTACCAGGCATAATCAACCATCTCACTCCACAGTGGCGGCTGAACGCGGCCTACTGGATTCCACAAGTCATTGGCGGTAGCGGGTTTGTCGTGAGTAGCACATTGTACATGTTGGAGACGCAGAGCAAGTGGTGGAAGCCGGCACCGCATCTGCTGGGGTGGCATGTTGCGTTTTGGAATCTCATCGGAGCGTGTGGGTTCACCTTGTGTGGTGCCTTGGGGATGGCGCATGGGAATTCGGGGGCGCAGTATCAGGCTTCGCTAGCTACATTTTGGTAAGTGTTCGCAGACGGTTGGGTTTGAGTTTCAAAGGCGGTATTCTAACAGTGCTGGTGATAGGGGCTCGTGGGCTTTCTTGATTGGGAGCTATTTACAGCTTTATGAGAGTTTGAATAAGCATCCCGTGGAGGAGGTTTCTGATATAGAGAAGGAATTCACTACGAGGCAACAGGCTTGACATTTCAGGAAGTGAGATTTTGATATTAACAGTGGAGTAGGATCATAAATACAACAATTTCGATGGGAGCCTCGCCAGGTTTCCAAGTCCCAAATCTAAATACACCAAGTCTATGCTTACATCCCAATGCCCAGATCTAAGCCCATTATATTATATTCCCCGGACCTGTGAAGGCGACATATAAAGGAAGAGAGGGAAAAGGAGCCTTTAAAACACAACCGCCAACTTCCATCCTGTCCTGCGAATTCTCGCAATGAGAACCAAAAAGGTTCCCGCAAAGCAAAATACACCTGCAAACACCTTGACGCCCACCCAGTTCTTGTCATCTCCCAAAATGGCGCCACTAATAGGGTTCGTCGTCAACCCACCAATGGACGCAATAAAGAATATAATACCGGTCCTGAAGCCGATTTCCCGCAGCGGCGAAATCTGCGCAACCAGCGGCCCAATAAGCGACACGTACGCGCCGCTACAGAAACCAAATAGCGCCGCAAAAGCAATGATGCCGCCAGTGCTGGAGCTCGGAATCCAGAGCGCAAGAACCCATATGCCCGTAAGGGCGCAAACCGTCACGAAGATGTTGTACCGGCCAATCTTGTCCCCCACGATTCCCGAAAACAACCGCCCAAAGAGACTTGCGGCGTTGAGGATCGACAGCAGGTACTGCACCAAGTTGGGGTCCACGCCAGCATCGAGCGCCTGGACGGGCAGATAGTCAATGGGCACGAAGATGCCAAACGTGAAGCAGAAGAAGCCTGCGCACAGGAAGACAAAGTCGAACTCGGAAAAGGGCTTTGCGAGCTGCGCCTTGGTGAGCTTTTGCGGGCGCGGCGGATGGGCGGCGCGGATGGTGAGGTTGGCCACGATGAGGAGGGCCAGGATGAGGAATGCGCAGGTTCTCATGGCCCACGGGAAGCCGACTTGGCGGATGAGGCGCGAGACCATGATGGGGAAGATGACGCCGCCGAGGGAGGAGCCGGTTGCGAGGATGCCGAACGCCGCGCCGCGCTTCTTGTTGAACCAGCCGTGGATGACGTTGATTGCTGAGGTTTTGCCATGTTAGTTGGTTTTGACCCAGGGGGGGGATCATTGTGTAGGAAGTGGTGGTTTGGTTCACGTACATGGCTGGAAGATGGCAGAAACGCCAATGGCCGAGCAGACACCTTGAGCTAATAGGATTTGGTAGTATTGCGTCCCGAGGGAACACATCATGAGCCCAAAGACGTGGAGGAGACTGCCGGCGAGGAGGAGTTGTCGAGGACCATATCTATCGTAGAGCATGCCTACCGCGGGGCCCTACATTTTGTTAGTGTTTTTTCTGTACTTGATGATGGAGCGGGCGTGACGGGTACGGACCAAGGCGTTCATGAAGAAGATTTGTAGTGACGGGATCCAAGAGATGGTGCTGGCCGAGTATGACGACAACATGTTGTGTTGGTAGTATTCCTGAAACGCTCCGACACCTAGCCAATGTCAACATGTCGCCCGGTCCAAAGATGCCCAGATTTTCGGAGAACTCAGGTTACATACTGTTGATCCAGCCAAAACTGCAAAACGAGACACACCACGCCCCCAGAACAACCAGCCAAGCAACGGTGCCTCCATCAGCAACAACCGGTTCCTCAGGAGTAGGCGGGGCCTTTTCCTCGTCTGATTTCTCGCCAGGATATAGATTATTGGCGTCTGGCATGTCGTGCCCGTCACGTTGTGCAACGTTCATGGTAGATTGTGAACCACTAGAGGAGCCTTTCCTCTCACTCGGGGGCGCAGCCATGACGAAGCCTCAGTATCGTTGGAGGTGTGACGAGTTGAACAACGGGACAAGTCACATGTGCTGGAAACGCATTCACGGTTCGATAAAAATAAACTCGATCATGAGTGTCTCACAAGATGGGGGAAAATAGACGCGCCCTGCAGCCACATATCTTATATAGTAGTAGTACAAGGAGTCGTCTGTCCCCTGTGGGAATCAACATGCTGACGCGCCGTGCTTCTGGCATGTTGAGAAGTCATAATCGGGGTTAGACGGGTCTCGCGGTTTCGGACATCCGACTCAAGAAAGAAGCTTGGTAAGCTCTGGCTCGTGGAAAGCTTGATCGTTGCCCTTGTCATGGGCAGGATATGTGAACTAGGCTGATTTTCGACAATGGCTTGCCGGCCAATGGGCTGTTCGGTGATTCGGCGCTCGGGGGTAGCAGGGGTTTACGGGAGTGGGGCTAGCCAGTAGGGCTGAGCGTTCGGTCCTCGGCGCGGTATATAACCACCGAGGCCGACCTCTCGTGCTCCCTCGACATGAACCTATTCCTATTCCTTCAGTCTCTGTTGCAGAGCACACGCGCCGGAAACAAGCTGCTAACTCCAGACAGATGTCGAGCCACTCCCCCTCGCCTGAGACACCAGAGCGTTCTCAAACGCCAGCCTCGGTCTCCTCGGCGGCGCCCGTGCAAAGATCCTGTGCCACTTGTCGTCGACGCAAGGTCCGCTGCGACAAGAAGTGCCCTTGCACACCGTGTTCTCGCGGCGGCCACGCATGTTCCTATCCGCCCAAGGAGCCGAGAGCGCCCAGGGTGCGCAAGGCTACCATTAATGACGTTGCAACGAGGATATCGAGGCTGGAGGAGACGCTGACGTCCATTCCTGCGCGAGAGGCATCGCACCCGCACGCCCGCTTTCCAGCCTCGCCAAAAACGGTTATTGCTGGTCCACATGCAAACCCCTTCAGCACAGGAGGCGTTGGGCACGAGACTTCGCCGGCGGCAGTTGGTAGTCCCCACCCCGGAGGGGAGATATTGTTGGAGAGGGGCTCGTCGACGCAGTACTTCAACGAGGTTCTCGTCTCTCGTGTTGTTGGGCAGGTATGTGGAGTGTCGGCTCGCTTCTCAGGCTCGTTGTGGAGGGCTATCTAGGTTGGTTTTAACCGAAATGCGTAGGAGAGCGATGTTCGTACTGCCCTCGCAACACCGAGGACAGATGAAGTGGCCCAGGCACATGTCCCATCGCCCTTCAATCCCATGGGAATACTGTCAACGCCCCTGTCGTCCCATCCACCTTCAAGTTACCACCCTTCCAAATATACCGCTGTGCAGCTATGGATGGTCTTTGTGGACAATGTCGACTGCCTCTTCAAAATTCTCCACATTCCGACTTCGGAAGTTTTAGTCTACACGGTGATTAACAACCCAGAAACAGCTTCACCTGAAGCACTGGCATTGTGCTACGCCGTATACTACGCCTCGACCGTCGCTCTCGATGAGAGGGAGGACTGCCCACGGCTTCTAGGGGAGTCCTGGATGAGTGCCCTGCATCGGTACAAAGCCGGACTCGAACAGAGTTTCGCCCAGGCGGATTTGCTGGAGAACCCTACCGTCGTATTACTACAGGCCATGGCAATCTACCTTGTATGTCATCACATCATTTCTTCCTACCCTCACTCGCGTTCTAACTCGCGCGCCCACCAGAGCGCAGTACGAGTCCACAACACGGGCCGCTCCGTCTGGACCTTCAATGGCCTAGCCATAAGAATCGCGCAATCCATCGGTCTCCACCGTGATGGCACGAAACTCGGCCTCTCGCCGTTCGAGTCCGAAATCCGCCGCCGTCTGTGGTGGTACCTACTGGGTCGTGATGGCCGTGTTGCCGAAGATCTCGGCCTGCTCGACCTTCCCACACCTAATGTCATAATGTCTGGTGGTGCTGAGCTCCCACTCAACCTCGAAGACAACGATCTGGATCCGGACATGAAGGACCTCCCACCACCCCGCAAAGGCTGGACTCGCATCCTCTCATCCCTCGCCAACATTCGCATTTGCCAGACATGGGCTGACCTCCTCCAACTATCATGGTCCAACCCTTCGACCCCCCCGCCTTTCGAGGCTCGAGATCGCATCGTCGCCAAATTAGTAGAAACCGTCGAGACCCTTATCAAAGAATGCAACCCCGTAATTCCCATGCAAAGACTCACACTCATAACTTGTCGCTTCATTGTCCGCAAATTGGACTTTGTCACGCGCCAGCAGTGGGAGGCTCACCACCATCCGGAACAGCAGGAGCTTTTGGCGACAGAGGAAACCCTCCTCGAGGCACTTGGCTTGTTTGAAGAAGGACAGCACTTGCTGAAGGATGAGCTGCTGCGTCCGTATTCCTGGTCGGGGCGATCATACCCGCAGTATCACTTGATGCTGTTTATTCTGTGGAACATATGCCTGCGCCCGAGAAGGTCTTGCGCTCTTCGGGCCTTCGAATCTGTAGAAAAATACGTCAAGGTGATGGAGAAGACGGGCACAGCTGTCTTTCGGGGGCCCAAGTGGACGATTTTCAAGGCGTTAATGGCCCGCGCCGCGGCGTCTATTCCACGGGATGGTTGTGAGAAAGGAGGAAGTCAGTTGCCAATGAGTGAGGTGCCTGCGAGCGCTGGTCTTGATCAAGGACTCGGAAGTGGCATCATGCCGGGGTCGACAACCCGCAAATTTGTCGAGATGAACGATGCAGGAATGTTCGAGGACATGCAGCACGTGCCTGACTGGAGTACGCTGCTACAAGGCTTTTTGCAAGAAGAGTCCAATTTTTCGGTCATGGTGTGAAATAGAATATTACGACATACACCCCAGACAAGGTACATGGTTATGGCTACACTGGAAACTGGTGGGGTTTAGAGAGACAAAGAATTCCAGATACGATGCTGGAAGGGTAAGGAACTTTTCGAGACGGAGCCGAAGACAAGCAAGTGAGAAAGGGGTTTCCACCACCAACGTCGTCAGATCCCTGCTTCTCAGATATCCAGCTGCAAGTAGAACCTTGCACTGGACGATCAAGGCTATCAAGCAATTTAACTGAGGAACACCAACCTCTCAGCGGCCCGTGCCGTCCGTGGATCGTGATCGCGAGTCTCAGAATGACTGGCCTTTCCTGCGGAGGATGACGAGGCGGTGGGAAAACAAAAGACAAATTTTCAACGGCCAGAAATTTGAAGGATCACTTCATGGCCTGTGTCGTTCACCTGACTGTAAAGCCTTGGCTGAACTGGCTAGGACGCGGTACAAGTCAAACCTCTTTAGCCCCGATGGTCTATGATGACCGCATATTACACGCGCAGCCCGGATTTCCCGTATGGGCTGAAAGGAACTTCTGTAAAGCGGCTGACACGCATGGATGATTGGTTTCAAGTTACTGCTCCATACGTAGACCATCGGCTTCCACCTGATTCGGTTCACCCCTTGGCTGAAATACGACTTTAGATGCACGTTAGCCATTGGCCATCAAAGGCGAATCGAATCATTGGATATGTTGGGCATCAGCAGCAACAGAGGTATTTGAATAGTATCTCTTCGTAGCCATTGAAATCCCGTGCTGTAGGACGTTGGTCTTCCCGGCCCCCTTTCGAATCGAGTCACTATTTCCTTGCAGCTGATGCCTGCAGCCAGTGAAGGGAAATGCATCTTGTCCACTCGGTCGTGGTTTCTTTCTGGCTTGCCGCAATTTTCGTAGGGTACAGGCTCTTCCTGAAATGGCATCAGTATCGGAGAGCCCGACAGCTCGGTTGTGAGGCAGCAAACAAATATCCGCATCGCCTTCCGTGGATATTAGACCCGTCAGGTAAAGATCTACAGCGCAGGAGGTTTGAGGCCCTTGTGTTAGGAAAATACAACCAGTTTTACCAGGAAAAGTTTGCTCAATATGGTCGAACAATCGAAGAACGGTCCCCAGCTGGAAAGACCATTGCCACCATGGACTCGCACAACTTTCGCGCCATGCTTGCTGCCCACTTCGAAGACTATGATAAACAAACCATTCGGATCACACCTATTCTGAGACTCATCGGCCATGGGATATTTACCAAGGATGGACCGGCTTGGAAACACTCACGAGATGCGCTCAAACCCTTGTTCTTGCGCGCAGAGCTGAGCGATGTTGATCGCTTCAAGAAACATGTTGACCGCATGCTTTCCTTGATACCTCGCGATGGAAGAACTGTCGATTTGAAGCCCCTTATCTGCAGGCTGGTGAGTATTTCTATGATTTTCCAAGCTTGGATCTTTCTCTTTGACAGTTTGACAGCCTGTCGCTATAATTGTGGGCGAGTGCACTGATTGCCTCTTAGTTTCTGGATAGCGGGACGGAATTCATTTTTGGGGAATCTTTCAATTCACTAGATCGAAATGCTACCCAAGGAGATGAGTTGATGGAAGCCTTCTCTCAGGCGCTGATAGGTACGACCAAACGCCGCCATGCCTTTGCGGCCCTCGGGTCTCTATTCAATGACACAGTAGATGAGAATATCGACAAGATCCATGCTTTTGTGGACCGTCAAGTCTCTCGTGCACTAGCAGCGGCTTCCCAACCGAACACGCTAGACGAGAAGAAAAGGGGTGGCCAGTCCAATTCGCGATATGTGCTCCTTGATGAGATGGCAAAGCGGATCCGGAAGCCAATGACTCTAAGATACGAGATGATGAACATTTTCTTGCCGGCGTTCGAGAGCACCGCAGTCGTGCTCTCCAATTCCCTCTTTCATCTTGCTCGCAACCCAGATCTCTGGACAGAGCTTCGAAAGCAGGCGATTGCTCTAGGCAACCAAAACCTAAGCTTTGAGCTTCTGAGATCGCTCTCTCTCTTCCGATACACCGTTCTGGAAGCCTTGCGGCTGCACGGATCAACCGGACGATTAAGCCGAACGGCGATTCGGGACACAGTTCTCCCCAGAGGCGGAGGGCCGGAAGGCCGCAGCCCGGTATTTGTACCCAAGGGCACTGTGGTTTCGCTTGATCTTTACGCCCATCTTCATGATGCAGAAATCTGGGGTGATGACGCCGATGTTTTCCGGCCGAGTCGATTTGAGGGTAGGGCGCCTAAATGGGAATTTGTGCCATTTTCGGGCGGCCCAAGGATATGTCCGGCACGGCAACAGATCATCACACAATCCGTTTACTTGTTAGTTAGGCTAGCACAGGAGTTTGCCGAGGTGGAAAACCGCGATCCGTGTATGGAGTTTGTAGAGAGAGTCAAGATCTTCACGGAAAGCGCAGGCGGCGTCAAGGTGGCGCTGCATGAAACGTAGTCGATACATATAGCTGCCAAGTAGAGCAACGGTGACAAATAAACAGAAGAGGCAGGATACAAAAACACACAATATCGAAAACGGCCATTATGCGCAGTACACGAAACCAGGGACAGATACTAGTTGATCGAGCCGGATGCTCTAGGGTAACAGGGTGAGTATGGAGTCAGGTAACTACTCGCTACTCCGTACGATAGTAGGCTGCTCTTGCCTCTGAAGCTGTTGGCAACAGAGACCCTAGCCAATCACCTTTGCCAACCGTCTACGTCATTGGCGATGGCTCGCCCCTCCTGCCCCGCGATTTTGGCTGCGTGGCCTGGCGGGCTTCCGGGCTGCTCAGTGGGGACATGGAGGAACATTGAACACAGCAATTTACAGTTGAGTGGGCACCTGCCCCAAGTGTTGCTCTGCTCTGTCCGGTGCTCCGCGCCCTGTGCTTGGAGCGCTTATGCAAGGCGCGATGCTGGACTGGTGGACTGACTGGTCCCATGCATCCACGCCAAGTCGTAATACAAGCCAGGCCAGGCAGGCAGCCAGTCGCACCTGCTCATGGTCGTCTTCACAAGTCGTTCATAACTGGTCCAAGACCCTGAAGTCTGAAACGCCGCAAGTGTTCTCCGTAGAATGCGCTCAACTGAACAACTCGGAAGCGGGTCTCCTCCTTCATATTCCATCTGCTCACGGTAACTAGGCGCACAGGATTGAATCCATCATCGCTCAACCACGATTAGCCGAACCATTGACCTGGCTGCCTCGCATTAATCGACGACTATCGCGCCATTGTCGACGCGACCGCGTAACCATCGCAGCGTCCTTGGGACGGACGGCGCAGCGCCCGCTGCCCAAGGCTCTTCGTCCCCCGTATCCTCAGCCTTTGCACACTCATCCTGCAACTCAGTCAACATATAGTTTCCCGTCCAACACCAGACACCACCATGTCGCAAGGCTCGCACCCGACTCTCATCAATCTGCCCCCGCCGGGGTCGAATCCCGAAACACCATCTGAGATGCCGTATGCAGCCCATTTTGCAGTCCACCGTCAACATCGCATTTCTTAGCTTCACTTTGTCGCGGTCGATTCAGAGTTGGCTAACAGTCCACTGTGGTGTAGAGGGACACCCACTAGCACGACGACGTCACTATCCGCGCTGTCTACGACTGCCATAAAAGACGGCCATCGAGGCCACTTTGCTTCTGGCCCTCTTGGCCGCGGGCATCAGCATAATCCGTCCACCACCAGCCTCGAGGCTGAACGAGCCGATCGGATATCGCGCTTGGCTGGACTTGAGCGAGTATCGACACTTCGTGCCGGCCCTGTGGCTGCTGGGGAAGGAGGGGGAGGGGGAGCAAGAGGAAGAGCATCTTCTATCTCTCCCCAAACCACTCCTACATCGACAACTGGTGGAGGGTTTCCGCCAAACTTCCCGACCACACACAACCTGACCCCTTCATACTTCGATAGCAATGGCCAACCCGTGGCAGTCACCAAGATGAGTACGGTTGGCTCAGCAAGCGCCACAGAGAGTCACGTTGGCGATGATACCCGGACGACTGCCGGCGAGCGCGACGAGGATATGTTTAGCACCGACACCAACTATCGGGAAGCTGACTCGGTAGCCAGCATGGGCGCCGAACCCGATGCCATGGACGAAGACATGGACATGATGGCGACTCGATCTGTTGGTGGTTACGAGGATAGGATGAGTGACGACGGGTCCGCGTCGCTTGTGGGATTCGGCGAAGGCGCTGGCAGCACCGTCTCTGGCCCCATTTACCACCGTCGTGCTCCCCCAGGCGCGTCTGCAGCACACCAAGCCTGGAACCTGGAGCGAACAAACTCGGGAATGAGCGACTATCGTAGGGACAGAGACACCATGATGAGCGGAGGCGATACACCCATGAGCGCCTCTGCCATCCAGGAAAGACGAGATGCTCGGATGATGGATGGAGTTGCTGCTGATGCTCCACACCATGGAATGCTCACGGAACAAGACAACTTTGTGGATACTACCTTCCGTGGGCCTCTGCCTACAGGGAGACAACCGACTACCAGGGAGACCGCGGAGAGAATTGTTCAGCAGCTGGATAGGGGTGAGGCTAGAGCAGGTCCATCCGGTCTCGGGAGCCCGGGGGTGGGAGGGCAGTCTCTTGGGAAACTCTACTTTGAAGGAGATAAGCGAGACGATTGAAGTGGAGATTTTTTTGAGCACAGTGGCATCCCGGGGCTTGGAAGGCAGAGTTGCGTCGCTACCGACTGATGAGAACAAGCCCGTCACAACTCAAGGGAGTCAGTCAGTCATGTTGAGGTCCGTGTCTTGATTGCTTCAGTACTAGCGAGTGTTTGTTTGGTATTCCCGGCGCATGTGCAACGGCCTGATGGAAATATATTGGAATGATGCTGTATTTTGCTTGTGTGTCAGTTGGCAGAGTATTGTTCAATAGGCTTTCAAATCTGATGAATTGACAAGGCGGCCAAGCCCAGCGCCAGCCAGGCTTGTTTTGGTCACCGCGTGAGTCCCCTTGACTGATTTACTTTTATACCCGTCACGTCGTGGTTCGATCATGACAATTGTCGGTGTTTTGCCCACCAAGGTTCTTGGATACTTAATCCGAAGCAAACCATTGGCCGAAACGTGTCTGCTCGTGGCTGTCCTGACCGTCAGGGTACCCGGCCCAGCCTGGCCGTCGTAGTAGGTCAACAACACCTCATTCATCTACGCCGGCTTCACTCGAAAGGAACTCAGCATGTCAACTAGACAAGACGAGAAAATGCCTCTTCCGCCCCGGATCGCGCGAGCAAGAAGGGACGCCCGCGCGAAAAAGGCAAAGGCGTTCCTGAACAAGACTGTTCCCCTGGTCCTTCAATCCAATGCCCGCGCGAGAAGAGGAGTAGAAGCAGCCTGTCTCGTCGTCGATCCTCCCAAGTGCAAATCCTCCCAGGAAGCTGTCCGGCGTGACGGACCCTCCGGAAAGACTTTGCCAAAAGATGCCGGGCCCGAGCCGTCGACTGTGGCTATCCGCATCACCCTCCGGGTTACGGATACCCTCGAAGCAGCATCCCGGCTTATGCCTCGCGTGGCCGTCCTCAACATGGCCAGTCCCTTGCGCCCTGGCGGTGGCATTTTGACCGGTGCCACGTCGCAGGAGGAATGCCTCTGCGGGCGTACGACGCTATATCCTTCTCTGCGGGAGGATTTCTACCGTCTCCCCGATGTAGGAGGCGTGTATACGCCCGACGTGCTTGTTGTCAGGAGCTGGGATCCACAGGGCGATGATCTCCCCGTCTCGAAGAGGTTTTTCGTGGATGTGGTCACAGCGGCCATGTTGCGGATGCCGGATGTGGAGGGGAATGTGTACGTGGAAGATAAGGATAAGGAAATAGTCCTCAGGAAGATGAGAGCTGTGATGAGGATGGTTAAGGGGAGGGGAGTTGACAGGCTCGTGCTGGGGGCTTGGGGATGCGGTGCGTATGGAAATCCAGTCAGAGAAATCGCGAGAGCGTGGAAGAAGGTCTTGTGTGGAAGAAAAGGGAAGGACAAAGATGATGGAGAGGGATGGGATGGTTTGGAGGTTGTGTTTGCCATCAAGGACCGCAGAATGGCAGACATATTTGCGACTGAGTTTGGAGGTGGACTGATTGTTGAGGAGAATGATGCCGAAGAAGAAGCTGAGGAAGTGAAACAGTAAGGCTTCGAGTCAGCCGGACATATGTTATAACAATCACGTTAGGAGTACTTGGAATTAAGGCCGTTAAAAATTTGTTTCATTCATCAAGAAGATCGTTGGAAACACGAGATGCAGCGCCTGCCGCCCTTGAACCTGTGGTATAAAAGCTTGATCCGGGTTACAAGGGATGGCAATAGCGGTATGAAGTGGGAAACAAGAGACCGAGATATCTGGCCACTCGGGTAGGTAAAATGAAAAAAAAAAGATGAAAGAAAAAAATAAATAACAAGAAGTAATCGCGTGAACTGCTTGTGCTGTCCAAATGAGTTTCGAATACATCGGTATAGACAGACGCTCTCGTTGCATGCCAACCAGCCGCTAGTTAAAACAAACCACAACGCCAGCCCTGAACAGTATGATCCAAATGCCCCCAGGTCAGCGCCACCAGCATCTGGAAACCGCTAGTGCCTGTTACCCATAAGAGTTCGCTTCAATGTGAATGCAAATGCCTCCCGCCGCCCGTTGCCGGTGACAATTGCCAACCCGCCGGAAAACAAAGCCCCCTCGCTCCCGAAAAGAGAGATGTTTGTGAAAACAGAGATCTTTTCTTCTGGATGAAATTTGATTTGTCTCACATAGCCACCCAGCCCAGATCTTGTACGCCTGTGCGTATGTAAACGTATAAATGAGTACTTGTCGACAGCGAGGACTCCATGGATTCATGCGAGAAGTTCCAGGAGATTGCAACTCTGTGCCGAAAAAAAAAAGACTTATCAGAAAAGAAAAGGCAGAAATACAGATTGTAGAATCAGATGCAATGACCCAAAGTGCTTCAGGTATGCTTGAGGCAAACGACTGACATGATCCTCATGTGACTGTACGCTATACTCATGCATATGTTGCCACGTCAGCAGTCGACATCACTTCCGTGTTCGTATATTTGAGTGGTACGGTGAAATGAATCAATCATCTCAAAGTCCGTTGTCAGGCACAGAGGAAATCTAGCCCAAGTCTTTTTGCAATGAATTGCCAATCCCACACGGACACCCAGTCACCTTGATCCATCAGAGACCAGACTTCCTCTAGCAGCTCCATCACGCGATCAGAGCTTCGTAGTCCTGTGTATCCACGAATAACTTTGATGGCCGTTCGAATTCGGCTGCGTTGGGTGCTGTCGAAACAAGCAGTGCCAATGACAGTGCAAGGTATTAATAGAAGTGTCTGAGCTGGATCACACGGCTTGAAGGACTCAAGAATGGCTAGTGATTCTTCCACTGCTAAAGTAATCCGACGATCATCCTGCGCTGGTCTTCTTGCTGGCGGAGGGGACGATTGTTTGTGACCGTCTTGGCACTCTTCACCGACTAGTGGAATTGTGTCCTGCTCATGCATTGAGCTGGTACGTGAGGGATTCCGTGAGGATGGGCAACTTTGTGCTGTATGGGATCCTGTTAGTGATGTCAGGTTAGACAATATCGCGGACGAGGATGTCGACGAGCCAACGCTGGCAACCATTGAGGCTCGTCGTTGCAAGTGGCCCGTGTTGTGCTGCGATGAAGTTACAGGCAATGGCATAAACGTAGAACGTCTTGATGGTGTTGTTGATGGCGGATATATTGTCCGGAAGAGATACACCCACATCATTTGCTTGTACAGCGGCCCAACTCTATGGCGGCTGTCTCCAAGTGGCCATCGAGGAACCCACTCTCTAATGGCCGCGTCAATTTCGGCCGCACGATACAAGCTGGTGTAGTCGACGACAGGGTCTACTGACGCGGCTACGTTTGCTCTGATCACATTTCGCAGCGTAGTGATCTGTGAAAGGCATCGGAATAGCCCGTCCCCAACCCCGATCAGTCGAGGCGGATGGATCTGGGATGGAGGCCCCGAGGAGTCTGTAGACAAGCGACTTGAGTTGGCTCCGGAATGCCATAAAAGGTCGTCAGCATATATGTGATACTGAAAGAACTCGGTTATAAACGTATGAAATGTGTTGTTTTCTGGCGGTGAGTGTTGGATTAGGGTCTGATATGCTTGCAGATGGACCCGATGCTCGCCTCTAGGATTTCCTTCGGCTCTCGTCTGAAGGAGCAGACAGAGTATTTGTCCGTATCGAGCGGCAAGCACGGTGTCATGTGCTGGGTCCTCCTTGGCTACAGGGTTCTCCATGTCTTTGTAAAGCCTCCTCAATGCCTCATCGTGATGATAGTCGCCTCTTTGTTGTAAAGACTCTGGGGTTACGGCAGAGTTGTCTTGAAGTATTTTTGCCCCATATGGCGAGTCTAGGTCGATATGTTTGCTGCTTACAGCCAGAATGGAGTGCATCAACCCCTGATGCTGATTTGCAAGTGGCAGGATAATATCTTTGAAAGCGTTTTTAGCCTCGCCTTCAACTGTCAGTACGTTGCTGAGATGGTTGATATAATGTTTCCAAAATATCATGTCCTCTGCTGTCTCTACCCCATGAAAAATTGGCTGCATTGTGATAACAGGCTGGCACTCATGTCGCATACGCTCTGGCAATGGCATTAGCTTGGAGGAATCGTTAAAGATGCGTTTTTCATCCGACTCGTTTCGTCATTTACCTTCTTCAGCTTTTTCTTTGCCGCTCTTCCATATTTGTTTTTCGTGATAGCCCTCACAAACCACTGCGTTCTTCTCACAATTCATGCCTACGAGAAAGTCAGACAAGTTAGCAGGGCCGTATGCTCAGGGTAAAGCAACAACAGCAAGCCAGTAGCGCCTTACATCGTGGTTTGGCCTCATCGCATTTCTTCTTTCTCTTCCTGCAAGTAATGCATCCCGTTTTGGACCGCCCCTTTGTGACTTTATTCACATTCACAGCTTGTGGTTGAGGGTGTTTTCTCGGCCTGCCGCGTGGTCGCTTTTGCTTGATTTCAGAGTTGTGCTGCGGTGCGATTTGTTGTATTGGCGTCAACGGAGCTACTGTCACGTCCCCTAATTTGATATCGTCATCGTTTGGTTCCAGTTTCGGGGCTGTCATGACTTCATCCTGAGCGTGCTCCCAGGTCTCCCAGGTCACTTCATTATCTCCCTCATCTTGGTCCACATATCCTATACTCCAAGAGTCGGTGCATGACGAGGATGCTGAATGCGCGGTTGTTGGAACCGATGAACTGTCCAAGCTGGTGTCGACCCCCGAGCTCACCGGCGAAAGCTGCCCAGTCTGAACTGGCCTTGACAAGGCAGCGCCCTTCCAAGCTGCTTCTGTTGGTGAAGGAGATGGTAAAACCACTCCCTCCCATGCGCCATCATCGGATGACATACCTCTATCGCTTGCCCATAGCGTCTCCCCGTCCGTCACTAGAGTCAAGTGTTTTTCCATTGCTCATCAATAGCGATGACATGCCAACTGGTAATGTGTACAACGAATATTGTTTCCAAGCTGTGTACTGTGAAAAGTAGACTGTTATAAGTAACGGTTTGTACAGCTTTCGAAAGTCAAGCGACCGAAGCGCCTGTGGAGTTATATTGCTACTTGAATGCGGGAGAATGATGTGTGCATGGTTTCATGTGGGTTTCCTGGCTGTGTATCCCGACCAAGGAACGCGGTCTGGCGTGGCTTGAGGTTGGCTAGGCTGGCAGACAAGCCAGCGACGGCTGCTGATTGAAGCTGTTGCAGGCAGAGACAGGTGATGTGAGTGGTGATCACCCGCGAGGGAGGAAATGGTATGGAGGGAACACTTGGAGGGGTTGAGCTTGGTGGTGGCCAGGTCTTATTTGTCAAGCAACGTGAGGGCCAGTTCTGGAGACAGACTATGCAGAGGAGGTTCCAGGAGTCCCCATGCTTCTGCAATTTGATCATGTCAGATCCCCATGAGTGTTGTCCACAGGTGTGTGTGATCCCCCACATCCACCTCGTCTCTCATGCTCCAATCCGTGGTATTCTGCGCTCGGAAACCCAGTCCAAGACGCAGGGTGAGATTGGTGGTGGCTTCAGGGAGTAAATGATCCAGCAATGACTGTCTGCCAAGACATTTCCGTAAAGTGCGATACAAGACCGATGTGCGTGGTTGCTACCGTGGATGCAACCGTGGGGACAAAACACGGAGGCCTAGTCATCTGTCCGTGGTGTTGGAAGACCTGGTGGTATCTGGACAGGGCCGGCCATCTCCACCGCAGAAGCCACAGCGACGATTTGCCTCCTAGCGCAACTTGAATCCTTTCCACAACTCTCTGAGGTACATCGAGGTACTTAACGGTGTGAAGGGTTTGGATGATCCTTGTTCAAGATTCTCTGAACCAACAACGGGCGTTGGTACGGGCCTTGACCAATCAATCACGACTTCAGTTTCCAGCCCCAGGAGGCCCAACCCGGAAGCCTGGCGAGGGTCCGAGACGTTGCTGATGATAACTGACGGGAACAAGGTGGTGAGCCGACAGACAATGGAGACACAAGCCTCCCAACCCGTCTACTTTTGGAATGGAGAGCAACGTCCAGACTCTGGGAAAGAGGCAAGCTGCCACGTGCAGCATCAGCTTGTTACAGGCAGCCCTGATTACTTGACCCAAGCCACTCGGTAGACTTCAAACAAGCAATTGTTTGTTGACCAAAATATGAAATACTGTGCTTGTCAGCCACACGGGCATGCTTGGATTAGGGGACCTAAGGTGGGCCAGCATGGTGTGGCTGCCTCCATTGCAATGTAGTGTCCTGTATCATGATATCATGGCTTGGCGACAAGAGAAGCATGCATGTACATACAGTATGCCATGGACGCAGGTAAGGCGTGGATTGCCGACTGTTATGCATCGATAGATGGTCTTAATTGTCTGAATGCCCTTCCAGGTGCCGACTACCTCCTGACTACTCCAAAGGCAAACCAGCCTGTAAGAGTACGAAGACCCTTCACCGTACTGGACCTGCAATACTCCCTGAGTCGTACGTAGTAGCAACAACGACGAACTGGCGTAGGTCTCAATCGGACTCTTGTTGGTCTTGGACTGAACTCGGCATATGGAAGCTGGGTCGCATGTGCGGTCTCCGGAATCAGTCTCCT